CAAAAGATTATATCTTTTCAGGTGAAGAAACTAATTGATTATTTCTAGTCCTAATTTCAAATAAAATCAATCAAATTATCACAGTACATAGGGATAGAAATAAAGCAACTGGATTTTCTAAGTTCCTGGTTTCACTATAGAATATAGCTGATTAGTTTGATCAAATTATAGCCAGAACTTTGACTTAGCGAAAACATAATAATAGCAATTACTATTTCTGAGCACCTATTTACTTTTTTGTTTCCATTTCTATTAATCGCAAAACAATTGGGCAAAGGCAGGTTTAATCAGAGAGGTTAAATGACTTGTGTAAGCTTATCCAGCTAGTAAGTGGCAGAAAAGTGGGGCACAGTTCTAGGCCACCTCTTTCCACAGTGCCCATCATCAAATACATCACTGTAGCTGTGGATAATTCAGAAGTTACAGGTTGACATGCCATGGCTATTTAAAAGGCACGGTTTTGGCAGAAAACATATTGCCTACCATATCTGCATATAAGCTGTGAAGCAATAAATTATTTTAATGTTAAATGTGGAAAAAAAATAGCATAGCACTGCCTACTCAAAAAGTATCATATCTTTAAACATTAAAAACACAAAAATTTGTCACATAACTGATATTGGAGGTATAATTGCTTCAGACTCAAGTGGCTTTTCAATCCTTTTTAAGGAAAATATTTTCATTAACTCAATAATCTATTTCAGTAACCTTTAAGTATTTCCTGATATGCAACCTGATATGTCTTCTTATGATTTAACTTCTCTTTAGAGCTACCAGAAAGAACATGACTTGTAAAATGAAGATAAAGTTTACGATGACTACATAGTAATGGAGACATTAGTAGGTAAGAATTTGGAGATGAAAAGATTTAGAAACTAGATATCTTCCATTTGCTGATGTCATGTTCTTTTTCAAAAGGCATGTGTGTGTGTGTGTTTTCTTTAAAGGCTTAGCCTGAAATGTTAATTCCTAGTTTTTAGTCATCTACTATGTGGATCAAGATCAACTCAAGAATATCAAACATTCTTATGAGATTGCAAAACAATAACCACCACAACAAAACCCAACCCTGTGGCCACCACATTCTATTCCTTCATAGTTGAGTGAAATCAGAAAAATTTTAAATTATTGTGGAAATTAAGTTTGTGCTGGTGGAGGAGAATGTGTATCATTAAAATATTGCTTTAATTCAAAGTAACAAGAATCAGATAATAACATGATCACATCATCAGCTGTTCCCTGTGTCCATTACTTGAGTGTAAAGAGCTAATGACACTTTTTGTTCTTTCTGTTTTTTAAAAAACAACTATATTCATTTGCTTATGTCATAGAATCCATTTTGAGAGGTACTACTCCCACTGAGGTAGATTTCCTTTAACTATTGTACGTGGGACATATTAAAAATACTTTCATATTTGTGGGGAAAAAGATATTAAAAGATTTTTCAATAAATGTACATATAGATTTAATGCAAATGAATTACTGACTTGACTTAAGGTGTTATTTAATATTTATTTTAAAGTTAGTAATTTACTTTGTGCGGCATTTATCTCAGTAAAATCATATATAAATAATGCTTTGCACCTACTAAATCTAATACTTGTTGAGTATGAATGGTAATACACTCAACAAATATATGCATGCCTACTATTTATCAGGCACTGTGATGTTTACTGACTACTGGACAGTTAACGTTCTTAAGTTACAGTCTTTCTTCAGCTCAAAATTTTCATAAAGCTTATTAGCATATTTTCTTGTGCTAACAGCAGGTACTCAATAAATATTTGCTAAATGAAATTGGAAATGAGGAAAATTTTTATGCTGAGCATTATAATACAAAACAATTGAGGGCTACTTAAATATAAGCAACAATTACAATTGTGGAATTTTTTCTTAGGGAGGAAAATAATATTCCATTCATTCAGTTTTAAAATTTAGAATAGGGAACATAAAGTATTGTTCTTAATATATATAAAATATACTCTCATTCTCCTATGTTATAGTGAGTAAAGAGAGAGATCTCAGTAGGAAGAAAAGGTGGAAAATTTAAAAGCAATGAAGGGAAATTAAGAGATGGTGATAAGGAAGCATGGGAAGAGAAAGTGATAAAATCATGGGTACAGGGACATGCAGAGATGTAACCAAAGAATTATAGAGATCCACGGTGACACCAAAGACAGAGAGAACATTCAACTCTCAGTCAATAGACAGTATTGTCCTACCTCAAAGGGGCTCCCAGACTTGCAGGAAAATCAGAATTGTAGTATAATGTACTTTGTAATTCAGATGTGCATAAAATGGCAGAAGAACTCTAGGAGGAAGCAAATCACTGTCTGGAAGACTCAGGGAAGACTTTGCAGAAGTGATATTTGGCTGAGTCTGGAACGTTGATGTATGTGTGGCATTGGAGTCAAAAGGGGGAAATTCTGGCAGAAAATTGATGGTAAAAAGATTTGAATGGCTGGAACATAAGATGAATCCATGACAGTGGAAAATAAACAGAAGATGTGAATTGATACTTGAGCATTATTTCAGAGTATCTACTATGTGCTTGCATTAGTAAGGACAGTAGACCGATTAAAATGTAATCTCTGAAGATGGAGCCCAAGTAATGGTATTTTTTAAAAGCTCACTTGGAAATTCTAATAGGCAGCTATGACTGAGAGTCACTGCAATAGATAATTGGAAGTCAGTGAGTGTTTTACAGTGAGAAAATGGTATAACTAAATCCTTTTTAAGAAGATAACTTTGACCTGGAGAATGGAGAGAGAGTGCGTGTATGTGTATAAAGACTGAAGAACCACACACCAGTCAAGTCTACTGTAATACACACGCATTCACAGAAAAAGACCTGTATAGAAATACTTCCTAGAGACCATTTTTATACTAATGTTGAGACTTTGGAATATTTGGGTTAAACTTTTGTTGAATGTTATAACCAAAAGTTATAAATGTGTATGTTACCTATTATACCTGCCACATATAGATCTAATGAACCCAAGCCAAAGGCACTGATTGGAACTTGTTTTAATTCCTCTCTCAAATGGCCCTGTGGGAACAACTATACCCCACAGCTAATTCTTTTTGTAAATTGAAGAATTTATTCGTAAAAAACAGTTATGGTAACATTACTGTGCCATTTTTTTTTAATCATATGAGACTACTTTATCTTGTTTTGGAGGTCACATTAGTATTTATTAAGAATATTTTATGAAGAAGAAGATATAACTACTATACTTTTTTTTGAAGTTGTTACAACAAGCAAACGGAAAGGACATTCTTGAGGGGGAGGGGAGAGAGGGAGGAGGGCGGGAGGTGTCGGTGAAGGGCCATAATGATCATATACATTGTATATTGACAAAATAAAAATTAAAAAAAAAAAAAAGAATATTTTATGTTATTGTTCCTTGATAAGCTGCAAGTATTTATCAGTTGAAAGGAATGAGTAATTAAAAATGCATTCAGAAATGAGAAATTTCAGTCAGTTTCTTCTCTATTGTTTTCAAAGTTACTTTGATTTTCTCATTAACAACTATTAATCTGCACAAGGTTATACGTTTTATTTGTAAGATAACAAGACATCCAATTTTAAATAAATTTAGAAAAAGAAATTGGGTCTACCAATATATAATTGATATGTATATATATATATATACACATATATACATACATACATATATATATATATATATATGCCTAAAATTTGTATAAATTACTTTATCCAGAAAACAATGATTAGTTTTGACTGAGTTTCACCAGTGCTATGAACTCGGTTCTTTCTCTTATATATGTATGTATATGTATTTCAGAAAAGAACTCTTGTCTGTCTTCTAAAGGAATGTTTTCAGTTCATAAAATAATGTGAATTGTGTGTTTTCTAGTTATTGTAATTGGTTGTATTGTTTTAAGCCAGAATCTAGTATTTCCTGAAGCATCTCTTTTAGAATTGATCAAAGGCACTCAAAAAATTTCAACCTGAGATTCGTCTGTTGTTCCTTACTGAAAAAGAACACCATGCTCAACTTTCTGAGGAGAGAAGAAAGAGAATTAATATGTCTCTTTCTTTCTTCCTTCCTTTCTTCCTTCCTTCTTTGATTTGAGAAGATGTTAATAAGAAGCTCTGGCCAAAAGGAGCATTTTGAAGGAAAGATATTATACCATTCTTAAAGGTGAGCAAATTTAGAATCAGTAAGGTTAATGGACTTTCCACATGGCACAAATGGTAAAGAGTGGAGTTGGGACACATAGTCTTCTGACTTCCTATTTCTATTCACAATACCTTATTAGGAAGCAACTCCACCCCGAAAACGGTTTGTAAAAAAACTACAAACCCACAATACTGCTGTCATAATGATATGGCTCTACTTACTTCCTTAGAGATTTGTGTCTCCAATCTGGGAAACGCTCTTAACGTATGAGCTATTTTGCCTAGTTTGAGAAACATCAATCTCTTTCTATGTATATATTTTTGTATTAAACACACTTCTGAAAATCAGATGAAGGCTATGAATTTCCTCCTTACAGAAATGTATATACACTCATGTAGAGAAAATTTTACATATCATTTTAAAAGTTCATTTTTGGAAATATAATCAAGGAGTCAAAGGGAGCAACCTAGAAGTAACATAGATAATAGCTTTTTGGTATTACCTGTAAGGTTTTTCTTCTCTAAATATTTTTTAGATGCAAAAGTTAAAAATCCTCACCTAAAGGGTATAATATGGATAAGATACAGTTTACTTTAACAATTAATTTTAGTACTTTTTCCATCTCGTAAACTTTTAAAGGAAATATGGGTACACAAAAACACTTTAAAATTCTAATTATGCTTTACAAAGGAAAATAATTAAAATCTCACAATTTTGTCTTAAATTTACATGGTATGCTACGTATAAATGTAAGGCTTTCAGAACATTATAAAAACTCGAGACCTCATAATCCTGACCAAAACAAAAAGACATACCACAAAATTTAATTTTTTAAAGGAAAAAAAGCAACTTTCACTTTTTATGAAATAGAAGCGGTTTCACCATCCCTGCCAAGATCTTGGGTAATTGTGCGGCAATAACTTCAGACATCATTTCTGGAAATTCAACACTCAGTGCCCGGGACTGGATGAATGTATTCAAGCAGTACAGGTGAAGCTGTTTGACAAGCTGTTGGTTTAACAAATGGGTAGGAACAAGCATGAAAAATGATAAATTCATGTGCTACTCAAACATGCTAATTTATTTTTCTGACAATATAAATACTTATCAAGATTTTTTTCTTACCAAAATGAAAATGACTCCCACCACTTTCTAGAATAATATGTAAAATCTCACATACCCGTGATCAAATATTTTGATATTATGGAAAGATTTAAAGAACTGAAAGTTATTCATAATCCCACAGGATAACCAATGTGAACACTCTGTTGTATTTTCCAAGCATACACACAATATTACACAAATATATAAATATTTCTAAAATGCAATTATTTTATAAATTCTATTTGCTAATCTGGCTTTTTCATATAACAGCATATTGACTCTTCTTAGGCCAAAACCCAAGATAATTCATCTTAATCAAATTTTTATCTTTATCAAAGTCAAATAGTACTGCAGATTTTTAACAGCAAAATAACAGCAGCAGCAACCACAAAACCCAGCAGCTTCCAATTTATGTGTATAATTTTAAGTCAAATAGTACTGCAGATTTTTAACAGCAAAATAACAGCAGCAGCAACCACAAAACCCAGCAGCTTCCTAACATACCTCTTCCCATCCTTATTCCAGCTCCCCAGACACAACTGCTTTCAACTTTTTTAGTCTGTGTCTTTTCATAGTTACTTACGCATTTCTAACAAATTTTGTTTTCCAATTTTGACATTGGGTTTTCACTATGGAAAATGAGGATTGAACTTTCTTGCACTATACACCTCGCTCCTCAACCACACACACATTTCCTCTTCTTCCCATTCTCTATATACTGTATTGGCTAAATAACTGTCCAGTATTTATATTATTAAGATTTTTATTGTTTCCTGCTGGATTACATTTTCTCTCTTATATGACTTGTTATTTTGCCACAGCTAATCACCTAGTGTTCTTGTTTGCTTTGTTTTCTCTATCTTTGTCACAAAGCCATAGTTGAACTCTCTGACAGAAATGTAAAAATCACCTCAATAGGATCATACATCCATGTGATCTTTTCAATTCCTTTTTTTTTTCCCCCCCTAGAGCTGGTATCCTAGGACCGCCTGTATTACTGCTCCAATCTAGACTAATCTTACACAGTTATTGTGCTGGGACATCACTCTTTGAGTCTCTCTTGGGTTGGATTCTTTACTTCCTTGGCTCATTCCAGTGTTTTGTTGTAAGACATCCTGTAGTAGGTTTTGACAAAGGTTGTATTTCAGGTAGACTCTATGAGATCCTGTGTATCTGAAAATATGTTTATGGGGCCATCATACTCGTTTGATGGTTTTGCTGGGTATCAAATTCTTTGAAGATGTGCTTTTCCATCAAAATTCTGGAGGCATCACTCCATTGTCTTCTAGCTTCCAGTGTTGCTGTTGTGAAGTCCAACAGCATTCTGAATCTTCTTGATAATTTGTGTGTGACTTGTTTCTTTTATTATTGGTATATTTTTGGATATTTTCTTTATTCCTGGTATGCTGAAATTTTACAATGTGCCTATACACTGGGCTCTTGCAGTTAGAAAACTCATATCTTTGAGTTCCAGCAACTTTTCTTTTATGATTTCTTACATAATTTCCTCTTCCTGATTTTCTTTAATCTTTCTTCTAGAAATTCTTATTAACTTGAGGATGGAACCCCCTGGATCAATCCAGTTCCAGCAACTTTTCTTTTATGATTTCTTACATAATTTCCTCTTCCTGAGTTTCTTTAATCTTTCTTCTAGAAATTCTTATTAACTTGAGGATGGAACCCCCTGGATCAATCTCCTAAGTTTGCTATTTCTTTCCTCTAATTTTCCATGTTTTTTACCTTTTTTATTTTTTCTGAGAGTTTCCTTTATATTTAAGCCTTTTTATTGAATTTTTAATTTATGTTCTTCTATATTTAGTTATCCAAAAGTATATTCTTGCTGAATGTTCCTTTTTAATGTTTTCTATTCTCATTTCACAGACACAACTTCATTCTTATTTCTCTGAGGATCTTACAAGTTTTCTTTTGCTCTCTGCACTGGTACTTTTTCCTTCAAGTTACTTTTTTTCTGTGTGTTTTGCTTTATGCCTTTCATTTTAGAGACTTTATTCAAATAGCTCATAATTTCATCTGTCTGTTCATATTCAGGAGTAAGGCCTCAAAAGTTGACTTGCTGAGTGGATAGCTTTTGTATGCCCTGACTGTCATTTTAATGTGGTTTCTGAACATAGGAACAATAAAAGCTTATATTGAATATGTCTTGACTAAACACATATATCCAGTTCTGTTGTTGAGTATTTCTAGTTCTAGGTTTTTTTTTCCCCCCTCTTCTGTGAACATCCTTGCATATAAATATTAAATTTATGCCTAATTATTTCTTTAAGGTAAATCCTAAAAGTTATGCAAATTTTAACTTTTGCTATATGTTGCCTGATTGCCCATCAGCAATATTATGAGAGTCTTATTCTCCACATCCATGCTTTTGCTTTTACTGTATATAAATCTTTAATTTTAGGCAAAAATACTTTAGAACATATTCAGGAAATGTGTCATAATTCCTATCAGCCATTAAATTACCCTCAGATTATACAAATACTAGTAAATGGATATTTGGGTGATCTACATTGAAAATGAAAAGAGCACAATATACATTCTGAGCAGTGTGATAAAAATACTCTTTTAAAACACAAGTGCAAATATAGATTCGAAGAAACCATATACAATAAAATTTAGATTTAACATTTAAAAAGTTATGGAAATTCAGAGAATAATCATTGATATTCTGGAAAAAAAATACTTACATCATGCAAGTTATCAAGAAGTTTTGTAAGTTGATAGAAACGCTGTGAGCTTGAGACAACTCCTTTTTGCCTCAAACCAATTGCCTTGATGAGCTCTCTGATGTAGCTCGATCTCATCTCTTCAAACTGGTTTTGACTTCTCAGTCCTTCCAAAGGAACTGTAAGAAGATAATTACAAGTGGAAGTTATGTCTAAAAAGATGACACTAATAATTTATAATATAAACTTCTGTGCTTTTGATGTATAACTGTAGATAAAAACACTTTAAATAAGAAAGACATAGTGCTATTAATAGTGTCAAGATATGTAAACTTCTCGTTTACGGGAAGAATATGAGAACAACAACTTTGTACACTAAAAAACATTTCAGCTTACTTATTTTAGACTTGTGTCAACAAATTATGCATTTAACTTACTTATCATTTTCTCAAAAGATCACCTGACATTATTCTACAGTCCTATCTCAAATACTTGATTTGATTTAGTTTATAGCTGCATGAATTCTTGGTCCTTTTTATTTTCTTTTTAACACATACTTGGATCTCTCTGTAAAGTTTTGTGTTCTTCATATAAATCTCAAGTATTTCTCATTAAAATTATTCCTGAATACTTTAACTTTTTATGTTGTAATTGTAACATTGCTCCATTAAATTGTCTAATGCCTTCCAGTTGATATGGGAGAAAGCTATTAACATTTAAATATTTCCCTTATATCCAGTCACTTAGTTATACTCTATTTTTAGTTTGAACAATTTTGTGTTGATTATCATTTGTTTTAATGGTATACAACAACACCGCATTCAAATAATATTTTCATTTTCCCCTTTCCAATAGTTGTAGCTCTCATTTCTGCTTCACAATTCATTGCATTGTTCAGGACTTACAGAATAATATTAAATAATAATAGTGATGGCAGGTATTCCTATTTTGTTTCTGATTTTAATGGGAATGCCACTTATTCCCATTATGGTGTTAACTACTAATTTAGATATTTACCCCTGAAATCTATAATTCCTATATTCCTATCTTAGGCACAACTTCCTATTTTTATGGCTAGTTCTCATATTTACACTAAATTGTCAATTTCACCATAGCTATTCTAAATCTTTTAGGTCCTACTGTTGTCGCTTATCTGAGATGCTTATCTGCTGGATTTTTCCAGCACATCTATTAACAGAATCCCCAGCTTCTTGCTTCATTTTTCCATTGGCTTCTCTTGTCCTACAAACAAGTCATCAACCTTCAATGAAACATCTGCCTTTTTCTGCAGACTGCTGAAAGAAAAATCACATAACCTCTTGGATTTATATTACTATACATTTATAATCTTGACTCTTAGCAATATATCTACAGAGATGTGTACTTAGTTTAAAGTCAACTGTATGTGCCCAGCAAAGAGGAGAAAAAAAAGCTTTTTAAACCCCTATTATACCCTGCACCCAAATCAGACTTTGGCTTCTTACAACCCTTAGAAAAAGAAGGCCACAGATATAAACTTAAGAGAAACCAAAAAGTTAGTTTTGAGTTTTCAAGAGATCAGATCTTGAATATAAAGGAGACTCTCAAGGATAAGTTTGAAAATGTGCAATTTTTGCTTCAGAAAGTTTGTGGAAAAATAGAATTAAAGGTTAATATGAATATTTCCATGAACTTTTGGAAGTACCCTCATATATGTGTACTGTATGTGTATCTATAGTCTCTTCTGTCCAGTTACTTCATATAGCAGTTATTTTAAATCTTTGCAAGTCCCTTTACGGTTCCCAACCAATCCCATCAATTATTTTTTCTTAATTATTTTCTAGTAAATACCTTTACTAAGATTTTAGTGCAGTTTTGGAGGGAACAATGGTAAAACTGTGTATTTAACCTGCCGTCTATTCCTGAAGATCTATATTTTAATTTTTAATGGCAAATGGGAATGTTTAACTTTGTAACTATCAAATCATCAAATTTTCCCTTTGCCAATTTCCCCGTTGCATTTATTTTTTATATTGCTTGTAGTTTATTTTTTAATTTGAGTGTTTACATTTAACTCAATTATCCGGTATCTATTTTAGAATATAATTTGAGCTAAATATCCAAACTAATTTTTCTCCAAATATAAAGCTGTTTTTCTCAATGACATTTATTTGTTCCATATTCATTGATTTGTGATGTTTCCCACTATAGAATTTAAGTTCTAATATAAAGTTATCTGACTTGACTCAACAATTCAGTGTATCTTTTCTTCTCTTATGCTGCATTAATTATTGTAGCTTTTCAATTCTATTAATTGCTCTACATTTAAAGATGAATTTTCAATAGCTTTGCCAAGTTATCTTCTCCCCCTCTCCCTCCTGTTTAAAATCTCATTAGCATTTTAATTAGAATTTGTGGAAAACCGAAGTACTATTCACCAAATGTTTCGGTGTTTTCCCTTTTCTTAAAGTGGCAAGTGGCCAAGAATCTTGCTTTCTATAATATGAGTGGAAGTCATATGTTTGCCACTTCCTTTCCTTACCACTGCTCTAGTGACTGTGGAAGTGTGACTCAAGATGCAGCCCTCATTTGCCTGGGTTCCTGAGCAATGACAACGAGCAGAGCCTCCCTGTTGATCTGCACTGGATATTTAGAGTGTTGTCTGTCGCCCCAGCATAATGCAGCCTATCCATAAACACAGAATTATGTTAAAGATATAAACTAATTTAGGAGATCTAGGATGATCTGTGATATAACCACTATAGAATTCATTACCCTCAAGCAAAGAAGAGCAAGAGGTTAACTACTGTAATATTAAATTTATTTCAGTTGACTCTCTGGCCAGTCCCATATCAATGCTCTTTGTCCACTCTGTGATCTTTCACCAAGTAAGGCTTGAAAATCCCTGCTCCAATAAGGAATGGTCTATGGATCCTTAGATCCTGTATTGGTCCCTGTCTTCACATAGATTCCATGAGGAAACCTTCCATTTTCAGGGTTTAGCTTTTCTGCCTTTCCTCCTGACTTGTGCCACCCCCCTCAACCAGCCCCCAGCCACTTGAGATTCATGCCACTAGAAAGAAGTCCCTGCGAAGATGCAGCTGAGAAAGACGCTTGGCTCACCCACAACCTAATGTCTTAGCTCCCTGTGGTTCTCTTGCAAATTATTATGAGTCAGGAAGCATCAGCTGGTACATTTAAGGGCTGTACCTGCCTGTGCATGCAGGGGCACAGAAAAGGGTAAAAGCAGATTTTTTTCTTTTAACTTTTCCCACATGGACCCTTGGGGATCAACTGAGGCAGAGGTGATTGTGTTCTTTATGCATGAGAAAGAGTGAAATGGGTATCTGTTTGTCATTCTGGTGACCAATGCTATGCTTTATAATATGCCATTTCCTCTTTCTGCCCAGCATACAGCTAGACCACATTTCCTGGCCTCTTCTGCAGGTAAGATGGGTGGTGGAATGTGGGTGCAAGTGATGCAAGACAGTTTCAGGCCTCACCTCCAAACCTTCTCTCACTCAGTGCTCATTCTAGTCAGATGCACTGGAGGACTCCAAGCTGCTAGGAAAGGGCAAAGCCACCGTATGGAAGGAGGCTGGGTTTTTCTTGCTAACCCAATGAACAGTGACGGTGAGTGATAAACAAACTGCTCTTGTATTAAGCTACTGATCTTTGTAGTTATTTTTTATACCTATTAGCCTATCCTGATATAACGAGAATAATTTCAAACAAAATTGTGTATTTATATAGTAAATACTTTTGTGGAGGTGGTGTTGGTGGTGTTAGAAGGAAGCATAGTTTGTGTTTATGCACTATTAATTAGTTTATAATACTGAATTAGGTAAATACAAAAAAGTCATTTAGTCATATGTTCTCTAAAATAAAAAAGAATTATTTAGGCTATATTAATGTTATATGGTAGGTAAAATATGAAAAATATCAAGCAATTTTATTAATGTCTATGACAACATATAGGAGTTTTTTCTTTGTAGTCACAATCTAAGATTTCTATTGCATATATAGGTATATGATCATATTGTTTGAAACTTTCCTAATGAATTAAAAATTGAAAAATTAAGTATCTTGTTTTAAGTTACTTGTACTCAACTCACTTGTATTAAGAAGGAGCAATACTTTCATACAGAGGAACTCTTCATGGCTAACCTGAAGCTTCACAAACTCCTGAGGGATCTGCCACATGGTAAGGCATAATGAGTAGAATGATGATTCTTTCATCCGCTGTCTTGAATCACACACAACACACATAGGAAAAAGCAACAGAAAAAAAAATAGGGTCTCAGCCAATTTATGTAATTTATCAGGGAATATGATTTCGGTAATTAGATTATTGAGTATGACTGCTACTTTTAAAAAACAAACTAAATATTTGAAATTTTAAACATCATCTAAACTTTTTCACAATACTGAATTAGGGTCTCAGCCAATTTATGTAATTTATCAGGGAATATGATTTCGGTAATTAGATTATTGAGTATGACTGCTACTTCTAAAAAACAAACTAAATATTTGAAATTTTAAACATCATCTAAACTTTTTCACAATACTGAATTGTTGAGGTTAAGAAATTTTACAATTAGAAATTTATATTAAATAGACATTGATCAAGATTAATATTTCAAATGCTTCTCATTTTTATTATCACACTTTAAGTAACTAAACCAAGAAACGAGAGCAAAGTTGTAGGAGTTCAGAATGTTGAGGGCTGAGAGATACTCAGAATGCTTTATTTACTGATGAATTTTTTTTTCATGAAAATATATACATATGTACATATATATATATATATAAATTATTTTGTGTACAAATCAGTGAAAGAATTGATTCAGTTCATAGAAATTTACCATACTGTGAAACTTTCTAAAAGAAATGTATAGTGATATAGAAAAGGGTAAAGAAGAACATTAGCAAGCATTAAATAACTGACAAAGTTTAACACAAATTCTGAAGGCTGAGGAAATTTATTTAAGGTATTTTCTCAACCATGCGATGTTTTATAATGTCCATATTAGTCAGATGAAGCTAAAAGAAATAGTGAAAAGAGAACTAGATTTTGACTCAGAAGAGCTAAAATTAATCCTGACTGTCACTCCGGGTCTTTGGCAAGTGATGCAATTCTTCTGAGCCTCAGTTTCCTGAACTGTAAAATGAAGGATACTGATTCCTTACTGTCTCAAGGGATTGTAGGATAAAATGGAATAAAGCATATGAAAATCATCTGCAAACTGTAAAGACTTATACAAGTAAGTTATTAAATTATATACTTCTAAGTCAGTATTCACCATTGGAACAGTATAAATATTACCATGAAAAGATCCTTATTCAGTTAAAGATTATATGCAGAAAATTAATTACAGTTATTAAAATACATGTATGATAAGGCAAATTGAAATATTTACTTTTCAATTTTAAAAAATTATGTATAATTTTTCCTGTAGAACAAAAGATAACGTTTTTACTTTTTGAAGGTTAAGTTAATACTTTATAGTGAAAACATTTCTAATTTACCTCATGGTCTTCATTAGCACCACGATATGAAATTTTAATTTGGTAAACCCAATTCTCATGGGAAGATCTCAACTGAAGAACGTAAAGGAGGGAGAAGCAAAGAGGTACTTGGCGGTGTAGGCGGGGGTCAGATCATGGAATGTCTCACATGTCTATTAAGGAGCAATGGGAATGACATAGCCTTAAGTGTGCTGTAGATGGATCCTTGGTAGCTCTATGGAGGGTGGATTCAAGGGAGTAAGTCTGAAGTTAAGGAGAGCAGTTGGGAGCTAATGCCAAGGGCCAGGTGAGAAATGATGAAAACCTGAAATGAGTCAACACATAGGAATTTAGAGGAGGGAGTGCATCAGAGAAATATTTAAAGGGTGAAATTAAAGAGATTTGGCAACTGAGTATATCTAGGTAAGAACAAGAAAGAGTCATATACATCTTTCAGTATTTTTACTTGAATGGTAGATGATGATAATAGTATTACTGAGATAAAATAAAAGAGGAGAAACAGGCTAGGAGGGAAATAGTAAGTTTTGGACATGTTTGAGGGCCTTGGGACTATCCAGATAGCGTTTGGACATATGAAGTATAAAATGGGGAGAAATGTGGGCTAGAAATATAAATGTAAAGTTATTTGTATCTGAGTGTAGCTGAAACAACGGAAGTTGACAACACCTTTTATAAAGGTATTGAGAAAAAACATTGTTTTGATGGGAATATCAATAACTTTCCATAATGCTATTTTTAAAACATCTATTTCCCCTAAAAACTCATTGAAGTCCACTTACAAATGATCTATTTCAAAAGTAAAACCAAAACCTTAATTCATTAACTATCAAGGGCAAAATAAATTTATTTCCTGACAACATTAATCTCAAGATAGGTAGCAGAAAAGAGGAAAATTATCTTCTCTCTGTATACTCCAGATAGTCCCATCTTCGTGTGAATAGTAGGAAGACTGCTATTCTCCTCTTAGAACTCCTTAACCTGAAAACAACTCTAGTACATATTCGTAATTAAGGATGTCATAGCAAACATTTACATTTTGGGTGGAGAGGAGGGAAACTCTTCAGTGTCTAGCCTTTCTTCCTTCCTTCCTCTCTCTTTCTCTGTGTGGACAGAGCTCTCAATTGGTTGTTTGGTGAGAGCAGGTACCCACCCTCCAAGCAGAAAGGCTAGCTAAAACCTCTGCTTCCCTGGGCTCGTGGCCTGGGTTTGGCCTGTGGAACACATACTATCATGGCTTTGAAGCAGAAAATAGTAAAGCAAACACAAAGATCTGGTTATATACTCTTGCTGGTGGTGGTGCCCAGTGATAGTGGAATCCAGTGGGTGCATTTGTGATGCTTGTTTATTGGCTCTTCAGAGACACCGTGGTTTCTGCTCATATTCCAAAATTGTTCTCTAGCTTCTATTCAGTGAATCCCCGGACTCCTTTCAATAAATTCTTTTTCTTTTGTTTTTGATAGCCAGGATTATTTTGTTTTTTAAGATTAACATAGTCGGTTTTTATTGTTGACATCCAGGAACCTTATTTACTCAGGTGCAGAAAGACTTTCTAAATAAGCTAGGAAAAATTTGGCATGCAATTTTCATAATTCTTTATTTTCACATGATTTAAATGCATCAAGTACATCTCTATATATTGTTTTTTAAAAAACATTATGAATCTTAATACAATAAATTGCAAACATAAATGCTGCTTGTAAATTGAATATACAAGGCTTTGTAAAAATGGATAATTAATTCTTTGATAAAACTTAGAATAATTTAATGAGATTAATGAATTTTCCTAATTTTTGAAAAGCAAGACACATATAAACCTGCATATAAACATATAAACTTGCTGGTCTGTTCTTTCAAATTATAAGTTCTGGAGTGAAGACCCTAGTTCCAATCCTGACTCTACTACTTACTGATTGCCCCTTTGGGCTGGTCATTTAATATCATTGAATCTAAATTTCTTCATAAGTAAAACCACAATGATAATGATAATGATAACTAATTCAAGAGCTAATATGAGACTCAAATGGGATAATTACACACATTGTAGAACACTAAGCAGATATTTATTATTACTCTATCAATAGATCACGTAACAGAATTACTCATCAGAGCAAAGGATTTATGAAAGCCACTAATCAGTCTGATGGAAAGTCTCTAATTTTAAAATAAAATGAGACCAAAATATATGTCAGAAAGCATTTTGTATATTATAGAACATATATGATACAACTAAAATATAAATGTTATTAATGGCAATAAAATTCAAAAGATAAATTGTTTTATCTTAAATATATATTTTCCAGAATACATATTTTATATATATGTTATTATATATAGCAAATTATATATTTCATATATATATGAAAAATGGAGGCTTGTAGAAAGTTAGGTTCAATTAATCAGATTACTAAAACATTGACAGGTTGTTCAGTATAATCTCCAGAAATATATTTATTATTCTTTATAATTTTCTTGGTCAATTTTATGACTTTTTAAAGAAAGTTGCCATGGATTGAATTGTGTCCCCTGAAGTCCATGTACTGAGGGTTAATCCCCACAGTAATTGTTGAGAGTTGGAAATCCTATTATGGTAATTGAAAAATGGGTGACTTTTTAAAGAAAGTTGCCATGGATTGAATTGTGTCCCCTGAAGTCCATGTACTGAAGGTTAATCCCCACAGTAATTGTTGAGAGTTGGAAATCCTATTATGGTAATTGAAAAATGGGTCCTTGAAGAGGTGACTAGATTGTGCTTACCATGCCCTAGTAAATGGATTAATAATGGCTGTCATGGACATGGTTCTGAGAGCCTTAAAAGGAGAAGGAATGAGGAGACAGCCTCTCTCAGCTCTGACATCTGCAATGTGATACCCTGCATCACCACCAAAGACCTTCACCAGATGTGTTCTCCAGACTTTAGACCTCCCAGCACCTAAAACTGTAAGCAATAAATTTCATTTTCTTTCAAATTACCCAATTCCAGGGATTTCTGTTATAAGCAACAGAAATGGACTAAGACAAAAGTATTTTATAATACTTAAATATTTGACTTCACTATGCTATAAATTTTTTCATTTTAGGCCTTTGATATATGTTAATCTTTGAGTAGCCTTAAAAATTTTACAAAATTATATAATAGTTAATTCTTTTTTTTTTCAAAAACAGAGATTCTGTTTATACTTACATGTTTACATTCACTATATTTACCCTGCTCTTTTTCGCTTTTGTCTTTTTGATTTTTTTGTTTGTTTGATTTTGCATTCTGGGGTTATAAATGACTAGAAGTGAAGGAACATTTTTATTATATTACAATATAAAATGTAAATCTTGTTGAAATAACTTAAAACATCAAATTACCAAAATTTAAAGCAGAAAGCATGTTTCCATTTAACAGAATGGAATAGAACTCAGAAAATAGCCTTTATTTACTCCACCTTTTAGAGGGCTTATCTGTGACAAATGTACAATGTTAAATCAACTTGAACATGCTTGGTACAGGAGTGCAATTTCTTCCCCATTAACTGTAATATCATTCATTACTTTATACTGAAACAAAGACAGGAACACTGAAATCAAATTCTTAATGGTGATAATGATCATGTAAAGTTAGTACACTTGAGATGATGATCAAACTAAAAAACATCCACATAGAGAAGTGATGAATGATCACTAATTGTGTTTAACAAATGTTAAAAAAAACAAAAGACCTTTCCTTCTGAGTTGACCTGATAATTCCTGACCAAAGCCCTGTTACACACTGTCCATTTCTTATGCTTGAAAAAAGTTAAAAGAAAATGTCAGTAAAGAGATGGCATGTATGACTTACTAGGTTCTCCGATCTTACTTCCAGAGTTCTAATAAAATATATTGGTTGTGCTTCTATAAAAAATGTCATGCTATCAAAACAATGGCACAGCGTTAAATATCTTAGCACCTTCTGACCCAAGGTATGAATTTTCATACACAAGTATGGACTTTGAATTGAAGCTTCTATGTGCTCCTCAATGACCAGTATATGTCTGATAACTAATTATGAATAAGGACTTGAAGTTTAATGATCTAAGGCAGTATATTTCTTCTTATATCAGTTCCATAATTTATATTTCTATTCTTTAAGCAGAATGAAGCTTAAAGAATGGGATGAAGCATTATGCTTGCAACTAGACATAATGATTAGAAAATGCTGTTGATGCTGTTTCTGCCTTTAACATTATAGTCTGGTGAAACAGAAAAGTAAAACACAATTATAGCTCAGAGCAATAGACTATGATTGACAAATGCAAGGGAGACATGGGAGAATAAAGGGTTCCTTTATTTCCAGACCCAGTTTGGGAAGACTCAGGGAAATATTTCCAGGAGAAGCGACAGGTGAAGTGAATTCTGAAGGCTAGTTAGGGGCCAGCCAGAGGAAGACGTGGGATAAGAGATAGGCCACCAAGTAGGGAAAAAGAATATGAGCAAAAGGAGACAGCAGGAAATTTAGCAAGGGGCACTTTGGGAATGGGACCTTAGAGTTGTTTGAAAAGGAATGGAGAGACATAAGGTTGCAAATCCAGTAGCAATATCACAAAAGGGGCTTGGATATTAAGGATAACGAGTTTGGACTTTACTTTGAAAAGGGAAAAATATAATTGTTTATAGTTGTTATAGAAAGATGATTCTGGGGGCAGAATAGAGGATCATTTGAGAGTCATGTGAAACCAGTGGTAAAAGGATCAGTAAGGAGACTACAATAGAAATCTAGGTAAAAAATGAGGGCCAAACTAATTCAAGGCAGTAGCAATGGAAATAGTATGCATAGTGAACCATATTTTAGCGAGCAGAGTTGACAGAATTTGCCAACTAATGGGACAGAGGGTGAAGGAGAAAGTGAGGCAGGGATGATACCAAAAATTTTGGCCTAGGTGCCATTTCAAGATACAGAAACAGGCTTTTAGGTTTATGGAGTAGAAGGTCATATTGACTTGGAAGTCCTTTTGGGTGAAGATATGGAATAAGCAGTTGAAAATATATGGTCCAGTAGTTCAGTAAAGGGTCTGGGTTAATGTGCTATGTATTTTGGAATCATCAGAATTTAGTGGTAGTTGAAGACAGGCTATGAATGAGCTCATCCAGACTGTGTAGAGTGAGAGCAGAAGACAGAACCCCAGACATGCCAGATTTATGGTGTGGGTAGAAGAATAAATCCACAAGGGAGTCAGAAAATCTGTAAACAAAGAGAAGCATATCTATGTGGAAGGCAAATGCCAAAGGAAGAGTTTCAGCAAGAATTGGTTATTTTGCCAGTAGTCTAGTCCCAGAGGCATGTGAAACATGTTAAGGGCTGAAATTTTTCACATGATTTTCGTAAGTAAAAAAATTTGTTGACAATTAGCAATGATAATTTCAGTGGAATAGGGTTTAGAAAAATAATTTTTGAAACGTCTTCATAAAATCATTTCTCAAGGCCTAACTTTACTTGTGGTAGTCTACCCTCATTTCTCCTCTCTCATCACTTTTTGGATGGCAATAATTTTTTTCTCTCATGATTTGATTTACTTACTCAATTTGGGAAAAAATTTAAAAAGTCCTTTTTCACAGATGCAGTGACTGTCACTGACTCAAAAGACGTTCCGGCATACTTCAAAGCCAGAAAATGAGGCAAAGTACCAATCTTCTGATACTGATAAATTGCAAGTAGTCTGGCTAACTGCAACCAAGAAATAAGGTATGTATTTAAAAATGCAATGTTTAAAAATGCCAAAGCATTGACCAGAATAGGTTTTTCACCAAGTAAAAAGAAGTATCAAGACAAAATTTATAAAAAGGAAATGTCTCCCCCAAACCTCTCTGTCATATCAATCCTGCTAAAATGTATTGATATACAGGATAAAAACAATTTAAAGGTAAAATCAAATTGGGAATGAGTACTTATTACTTCCTAAAGCCTGCACTGACTTTTAAGACCTCCTTGATCGGCCCATAACTTATACCTCTAAATTTACTTCCCACTACTCTTCTTAATATTAATTTATTGTCAGTGGTTTCTTAATATTTGGGTGACAAAACCCCCAGAAGTCCAGTACTTATTGTAGTAATGTCTGAGGAACAATACGCACAAATGTGTTTTCTCGATCGGAGAGCTTTAATTACTATCCTTTGGGGTGAGTGTATGATAAAATTTTTGATGTTACCAAGGGACCCTCACACTTGAAAACATTTAGAACTATTGTCTAATGCTGGGTTAATTCATTATTTGCAAAATATACCTCATGCTTTCCTTATTCTTTATATCTGAATGTTTTCTCTTCTTATCATGATTTATCAAAGTCTTGTTTTTCCTTTCTCCTTCAAGGTGTAGTTTAACCAATACCTTGTCTCTGATGCCTTCTCTAGTCCCTCAAACCAAAAGTGTTCTTCCATCCCACTTTCTTTATATCTGTATCTTATGTCAGTTTCACATAATACTGTAGTTGTTTGGGTATCTTCTTTCTCCCACCAGATTGAAAGTTCCTTTATTCTATTGAATATGTCTTGTTAATTTTTTAGATTTTGCAAATATCGTGTTGCTTCACCCTTCAAATAAGAAAATGTTACCCACTAAAGCTACAGATAAAAGTCAATTTAAAATCATTCATATATAGGTGCTAAATGTCAGATGCAATGTATCCTAAGAGACGGTTTGTAAATGTACTGTCATGAGGCTAAAGCACCTTGCATGTCTCTATTAAATAGAAAAAGGATATCTCTGAAGTATTATTGGGGAGATGAAAGATAAGCTGCAGTTATTCTAACAGGTCCAAGATAATGGAAGAGTATAGACAAAGAAGCAACAAGGAAGCCCTGACCAGGCAACAGGCATTCTAGGGGCACCTGAAGATATATGCCTAGGGACCCTCAGATATGTTGTCACTTTGTTATAATGATCATTCTACATATGATCTTAATCTGACTTTCCAAATACACTTTCCTGTAGGAAAGAATGACCTGATCTGTCAACATGTTTTCCTAGTAGTGTGTGTGTATGTGTGTGTGTGTGTATTTGCATTATAAAGGAGTAGATTGACATTATGGCTTATCAGTAAGTTTCGTTTAATAAAAGTCCATCTTCCACAGACTTGTTAGTCTTATTACACTTGAGTAAATGGATAAAATAAATTTCTCATACATGCAAAACTAATAACCAGATGCTAGGATGTGCTGCACCAAAATGTATTCACACCATGAGCTAAGCCTTCTGGCTTTTCTTTCTAAAACTGTTTAATTGTTAGAACTTGCACACAGCAGGTATATAATAGAAATTCATTGAGTGAATCAGTGAATAAAAACTGTAACTGTTTAATTGTTAGCACTTGCACACAGCAGGTATATAATAGAAATTCATTGAGTGAATCAGTGAATAAAAACTGTAACCTTGTTTAAAGTCAGCTGAAATCGGTTTTGAGCAGCTAATGATACTAGATTACTTTATATACATGTTCATTAACCATTTTCATCATTCATTCAGTAGTGTTCCTCCCCAAAATGCAGGCCAAACACGTATGGTTTAAAAAGACTACTGGCCACACTATACTTTGAAAATGTCAATGCTTCCCTTGTTTACAATTAATGAAAACAGTATGTGTAATACTAGTGTTGCCAGTCTTTCTGATTTACTTGGCATGAATTACATTGTGCAACATTTAAAAAGTTGCCACCAAATGCAATGTAAAAATTTCCTCTCCTTTTTTGAGATTGTGTCGGGGTCAAAAAATCCTGATAGATAACTGCTTCAACTTGAAAAGCTCACTTAGCTTTTATCCACAGCAAATAAATAATCTTTTTAATTGTAACTGGTTATTTTCTAACTTTTCCAGCTCATGCCAGAATCTTTTAAAACTTTAAAGAACTTACAAAATACAAACAAAAGGAATATGAACTATATCAACAAAAATAAAACACCTTTCCAAATAATAAAAAAACAGAAAAATTAAACATGTTTAAACATTCATATTTTTAAACAGAAAAGTTCATTATTGCTATTGTTATATTTTTATTTAATAAAGATCTATCAAATCTGACAACTACTTTACAGTAAGTTTTAAACATTCAGAACTTTTTAACAGAAAAAAAAATTACCTGTCCAAGCCCTTTCAGCAAGAATTAAACTAGTAAGAACCTGGGCATTTTGATTTCTCTATAAAAATTACTTCATCACCACTAGCATACTGAATTTTATTAACTTTGCTCAATATGTATTTTTAAAAAGATTTGAGAAATAGGAAACTATTTTTCTTTCTGTTTCATGTAATTGAATTTTTTAATAACAATTCATCTATTGTATTTCAGTGTTCAGGTAGAATAATAACTGAGAAATATATTAAGGCAAATTGAAAAGGAATTTTTTTAAAAGCTATTGAATTTACTTGGGAGCTAAAAGGACGTAACATGTTTAATTCTTTTTTTTTTTTTTCTTTTCCTTTTTTTTTTTGTGACCGGCAACGGATCGCAACCCTCGGTGTTGCCCCCACACCTCGCTCAGCCAGTGAGCGGCCGGTCTGTATGTAGGATCCGAACCCTCGGCGGGAGCGCCGCCACGCTTCCCAAGCGGCGCACTGTAGCAGTGCACCACCAGGCCGGCCCTAACATGTTTAATTCTTGATGAGATATTGGAAAAATAAATTGGTCTAAAGTAGTACATGGATATTATTGAGGTAAAGAAAATGTATATTTTTAAAAAATGTTCTGTTTCTAATTATGGGATTAATGTTTTCGCAAGCAATTTCTACACATATATTTTGGCTCTACAGTCTAAGATTTAATCAAGTAAAAATTTCATCCTTGTAATTCTTTCAACTGCTTGTTGCCTATAGAGCTGTGCTGAGAGAGCAAAAACAACTGATAAATAAAGTGACTGACATCCTTTCATGATATTATAATCCAAGTTCTCTCTGTTGCTGAGCTATATATCCCCTTTGGGTATAAATTAGAGGAAATAGTGACTGGAGGTTCACTTCTTTATGTAAAAATTAATTATTTATTCATTTTTTTAGGAATTCTGTTTTCTTAATTGACTTTAGACACCTCACTGTAACTCTGCATACCATTTTGCTTTATTATATGAGCAGATATATTCAGTTTTATTTTCAACCAATTGAGGTTGGTTAAATTAGGATTTAGAATGAACCAGACATTTTAAAAAAGTTGGTCAACTTGTCTTTCTCTGAACTACTATAATATCTGTTGTCGAACACACAATTTTATGCTATTTCTTAACTGTTTGATATATGTAATTCTTGATTCATCAGCAAAACTCAATGCGTTCTCTACTTCTTTTGTATTTCCATAGCACATATTAGGGTCCTATACAAATATTTTGAACTTCTGAAACATATACTGTAACGTGCTGTTTACAGCATAGTTAATTTACTGCACAGACTGTTTTATTTAACAACCTACTAGTACAACAAACATAGCACATTTTTTATTACATGCTATTACATACAAACTATTATTACCTGGCAATGATTTGGACCACTTGACTACTGAAAGCAGTTGCCTCTCTCCTAGTTGATTAAGACTTGTTAGCAAAGAACTGGAAGTATCAGGCTTTGTGTTGTCATGTCCTGCGTAGATCACGTCTGGTTCAATGCTCATTAGCAGGCTGATCACTGAGGGGATCAACTGCAAGTCTTTAGACGGTGAAAAAGTGATTCTCTGGCTTTCGTTTGGAATGCCCACTGGCTGTGAGAGAGCAACTGTATCTAGTGCTCTCATAACTCTGACTTTATTGAACTTTTTAAACTTTCGACCTATAAAGAGGAAAAAAAATGTTTATGTAAATACATATGAACTAAATCTCCCAGCAGAGTATTATTTATCTTAGTCCTTAGAATCATAACATTATAGATTTTAGTATCAATCTAATAAAATGAATTAGAATAAATAAAAATGTTAGGCCTCAGGTTAAATAAATTAGAATTAAATAATTCATTGCTTCAGCATTCATTGGGTTTGTAGGGTGGGAGGAATTACACCAGTATCCAGCAAGGGATTATGGACTTTGTATGAAAAGAGATGAATGAAAAGACAAATAGCTTTTAGGAGAGACTAACTTCAGTATTGCTCAATATTCTGACAGAACTGCTTTCCAAAAGCTAATGCTGCAGATCCCATTAGTTGAAACATAGTCTAGTGGTTGCTGAATCTTCTTCTGGGTTTCATTCATTTAAGAATCTGTTAAAAGATATGCATATATATGCAAACCCCGTGAAACACTTAATATAGTTATGGTGGGTCCATAGTTCCCTTGAAAACAATCTTATAGACTGTTATGACATCTAAGGACCAAAAATTAAGAGTCTCTTTTTTAAATTAAGGGAGGAGAGAATCTACACTCTGTGCTAGTCAAACCACATTTGTATTTCTCAATAATTTATAGCATTTCTACTTTGATGAATTGTGATATGTTAGGAAGAAAAAAAGCCAGATGGTCACATAAGTAGAATCTGCATCATGAGGAAAAATTTAAGGAGACTGGGATGCTTCTTTGGGCTTCTGCTAGTTCACATATGCCTTGGTGTGAATAAGAGAAAGTCCTGGTGACCTGAGGGTGGGCTGGATTTCAGTCCCACTTGCTCTGTACGAGGCATGGGCTGATTAACAGAATGAAGTGGCTATGCTGTTTAGCTAAGGGAGGATTGATAACCATTTGCAATTATCTAAGCAGAGGTAGCAATCTGCTGGTTCAAGTACCTGATCTGGCCCTTAGACATGTTTTGTTTGGTTCATGCAATACTGACCAGAGTTATAAAAACATCCCTAAATTAGTTAGGTGGCAACAATCTAGTAAAGCTGAGTTGCAGCTGTTGCTTTTGGATGGGTCATAGGCACTCCAGTTTGTCAAGTTCCTACCACAAACTGGTAGTAAGCCAATGATTTCTTAAATCTCGTCACTCTACCCAACTAAGTTACCTACCTGTTCTCTGTAAGCATTTGCCTTTGTGATGTCTTTTTTCTTTTTTTATTGGTTATGAATATTCATGAGATACTAAGCTGATTGTCATCCCTCGTGCCTTTGTGATTTCTGAGTTCAGAGTATAGTCACAAAGAAAAATGATTACACTTGCTCTATAAAGCCCCAAGGAACTGAGTTAGAACTTGTAGGTGACAGGGAAATAATTGCCAGGGTCTGTATACAAAAAGGATGCAGAATTGATTACAGAGATCACAGGGGCTTCCTGGGCAGGGAATGAGTTACAAAGGCAAGAGAGGTAACAGTTATGGAGTATCTACTATACATCGGGAATTTTATATATCATTTAGCCTTATAACAATCTTGAAAGCTAAGTATTATTAACTCCATTTGTAGATTGGGAAAATAGAGAGAAGAGAAAATGTCACACCCAATGTTAGAGTAGCAGAATTCAGATTATGTGGACTGGAAAGCCCAGACTCTTTCTACCCCTATCACTGGAGTCCCCCTGGAGTCTCAGGCATGTGCTGCATCTTCATTTGGTGGGATTATGGAAAAGAGGGTTAGGCAAGGGATTGTGTGAAAGAGCATGAAGTTTGAAATAAATATTTTTTAAAGGTTTGTTCCAATGCTAAAATATTATGATCAATAAAAAATACAACACACCCTCCCCTACCCCCAGCAATAACTCTAAAATGGTTTTCCTTCCAATTTACTTTAACTTCCTTTCTCTTTTTCATACACTTACAGTTCTGGTTTCATCAGAATTTGATTATATTATAAAATACTGGAATCTCTTTGAAAACCAAAGAAAACGCTTTATACATTGATTAAACTTTAGAAAGTCTTGTCCCCCAAATAGAATTCCAAGACAATTTTCCTAACATGCTGATTATATAAAGTGTCATTTAAATTAATATAGAAAACATTCATACTTTTCTTGCCATCCAGTCTTTCCATGAGTCCCAGGGGGGAAAAAAGGGAATGTATGATAAAAGCAAATTCAAAAGATGAACTAATATTGAACTAGGTCATTTTTATATCTTATCTACTTGATCAACCCTTTGAAATAAATATTAGCATTTCCATTTTAAAGATGAGGAATAGGTTTACAGAGGCTAAGTAATTGGCCAAGTTCATAAAGCTAGCAAATGCCAGAGCAGACATATTAATCAAGTGGTATCCTCATTCATTCTTTCACTCACTCATTCATGAAACACTTATTGGCTTCATTTATCAGGCACTGTTCAAGGTTCTTAGGTAACAGCAATGAACAACAAAGTGTCTACATTCACTGAGTCTATATTTTTGGGATAAGTGGTAGAAGATAGAGGGTGCCCATAAACCAATAAAGAGTAATAAAATACCAAAATGTTATGTGTTACAAGCAAATTATGTGTCATAAGATAGAAAGTGACTTGACAGAACAGGGCAACATTAAATAGTATGGTCAAGGAAACTTTCAAATTTCAAACTCTATGGTCTTTCCCCTAGACCTCCCTGCTCCTCTTCCAACAGTCTTTGTTTATTGAAATCTGCAGGCTAATGACTCTTTGGGAGCTAAAAAAGCAGCTAAAAAAGGAGAACTTTGCACAGCAGAAGAATGATGTTAAAGAATTTAAAAAATGTAAAGTTATTAAGAGAAATTTTCTTGACGTGCTACATTGTTACAAACTTGCCACCTCTACGATCTTCCTCCTACCATGAACATCAGTTTGGTCTTCCAAAAATACATGGTAAGAAATGTAATAACTCTTCCCTTCATTTATAGTTTATGAAAGTACGACATACTGAAAAAACATGAACTTTGAACTAGCCATATCTAGGTATGCATTCTGTCACTTAAAAGCTTTATACCTGGGTTGGATCCTTTACTTGTCCAAATACTAATTTACTCATCTTTAAAATGGGGCATATACAATAATGAAATAGCCAAAGAAGAAATCAAGAAAGTAATGGAATTCACAATAGCAACTAAAAAAAAAAAAAAAAAAAAAAATCCGGTACGGGCGCGACACTGAGGGTTGCGATCCATTGCTGGACACGAAAAAAGACAAAATAAATAAATAAATAAATAAATAAATAAATAAATAAATAAATAAATAAATAAATAAATAAATAAATAAATAAATAAATAAATAAATAAATAAATAAATAAATAAATAAATAAATAAATAAATAAATAAATAAATAAATAAATAAATAAATAAATAAATAAATAAATAAATAAATAAATAAATAAATAAATAAATAAATAAATAAATAAATAAATAAATAAATAAATAAATAAATAAATAAATAAATAAATAAATAAATAAATAAATAAATAAATAAATAAATAAATAAATAAATAAATAAATAAATAAATAAATAAATAAATAAATAAATAAATAAATAAATAAATAAATAAATAAATAAATAAATAAATAAATAAATAAATAAATAAATAAATAAATAAAAATTAAAAAATGGAATACCTAGGAGTAAATTTAACCAAGAACGTGAAAGACCTCTACAATGAAAACTCTAAAACACTGATGAAAAAGTGTACACAAATAAATGGAAAGACATCCCATGTTCTTGGGCTAGAAGAATTAACATCATTAAAATGTCCATATTTCCCAAAGCAATCCACACATTCAATGTAATCCCTATCAAAATGCCAATGACATTTGTCACTTCTTCACAGAAATAGAAAAAACAGTCTTAAAACTTGTATGGAACCACAAAAGACTCTGTACAGCTAAAGCAATCTTGAACAAAAAGAACAAAGTTGGAGGCATCACACTTCCTGATTTCAAAATACACTATAAAGCTATGGTAACAAAAACAGCATGGTACTGGCATATAAACACACAAACTGACCAATGGGACAGAATCGACAGCCCCAAAATAAACCCACACATTATTAGCCAACTGATTTTCTACAAAGGTGCCAAAAATATACACTGGGGAAAGGACAGCATCATCAACAAATAGTGTTAGGAAAATGTGATGTCCACATGCAGAAGAATGAAACTAGACCCTTATCTCTCACCATACATAAAAACTAACTCAAAATAGGTCAAAGACCTAAATTTAAGGCCCAAAACCATTAAACTACTACAAGAAAGCACAAGGGAAACACTACATGAAATGGGAGTGGGAAGTGCTTTTATGAGTGAGACTACAAAGGCACAAGTAGCTAAAGCAAAAGTATACAAATGGGGCTGCATCAAACTAAAAAGCTTCCGCACAGCAAAGGACACTATCAATAAAGTGAAGAGACAACCTATAGAATGGCAGAAAGTATTTGCAAACTACAGATCAGACAAGGGGCTAATATCCAGAATATATATATAAGGAACTCAACAGTAAAAAAAAAAAAAACCCAATTAAAAAATGGGTGAATAACCTGAGTAGACGTTTCTCAAATCAAGACGTACAAATAGCCAAGAGGCACATGAAAAAATACTCAACATTACTAATCATCAGGGAAATGCAAATTAAACCAAGATGGGATGGCATCTCATTTCCAGTTAGACTGGCTATTATCAACAAGACAAAAAATAACAAATACTAGTGAGGATGCAGAGAAAAAGGAACTCTCCTACATTGTTGGTGGGGATGTAAAATGGTACAGCCATTGTGGGAAACAGTATGGAAGTTCCTCAGAAAACTAAAAACAGATCTGCATTATGACCCAGTTATCCCACTATTGGGTATATACCCAAAGGAAAGGATATCAGTATATCAAAAAGACACCTGCACTCTCATGTACATCACAAAACTACTCACAACCACCAAGAGATGGAATCAACCCAAATGCCCATCAACACCTTTATTTATAGTAGCCAC